CAAAACTCCCTAGGGGGTTCTCCATTTCCTCAAAATGTTAAGAGGTGAAGGCATATTTTTTTCTGCGGCACTATATATAATTGTGTTGTCACAGTGTACGCGTTACGCAAATCATTTTGCAAAGAACGAAAATGGGGCAATGACCTGTAGATTGCACCAGATTTGCGCAAACCACGAACTACCTGCTTAGCTCTTTCAGTAGTTTGTACTCTTGGATCATGGAAGAACAAAATCGTTTGGAAAAAATCGACCACTTATGCCGTAAATTTCGACAGTTGTTAACAAGGAAAGTCTTTTCCTAGTAAACAGGCATTGTTTAGACCAAAAAAGTACGTTTGCCGTCTTTTTTAGAATAGTTCGATGTTCGCAGCTCACGTCTGCCGAGAGTGACGAGGCGCATTTGTGTTCACTGGTTATGTTGTTCTCGGGATGAACGTGTAACTTGTCCCTTACTTTTTAATGGAGACATTTTCTTAGTGGCAAAACCCGGTATTCTAACCACTTTCATTCTCATTAGGTAGACAGGCGGTGATGCAACAAGTGGTCAGTGTTTAAACCGGCATTATGGAGCCCGTTTTGGGGGGAGGTGCCATGTAATGTTATGCGACGTTGAGTGAACTGCGCGTGCGCCTCGTATTAAGCGTATCAATATTAAGGTAGAGATGCATGTTTGTGGGCACTTGGGAGTGATTTTTTTTTTTTTTTTCCTTTTTATTATCCAAAACGTCTTGGCTATAGACTGTTAAAATTTTGTAGAATTGTGAATAGTGGAACATACCCAAAAAACGATTTCTAATAGCATTTTTGTCAAATTACCTGGATACACAGAAAGCAAATACGGTTTACGATTGTGCAATGAATGGTAGTCAATTTTGTCATGAAATTAGTCTTTAAATTCTTATACTTAAAATCCAACATTTTCGAGATATAACTAATCATGCGATTTGACAGTTTTTTTACGATAAATAACATAATTCCTATTCTGTGTATATTCAATAATATTAAAACAATAATGCAATAAGGCGGAATTAACATTTGACCAAGTATACGAATTCACACTGTGAAACTTTTACATTTATTGTTCTGGGTTTCCGGATATTACAAATAGAGTTTGAATCCTGGTATGTACTTCATGCTGGTTGCATTTTCATCTGTAATCTGTAAAACAAAGAATAATGCATACTTAAATACAGACAAGTCGTGTGGTAGAGTAGAGTATTACTGACGACTTTCACACAACAGTTATTCGAGAATAATCAACACTTTTTGTGTCGAATAATCCTTGTTACTGTAGATTGATAAGAGGCGGATATCAGTATAGAGATAAACGTGGAGAACCGCAGGTTTAATTATTTATTAGCTACACTATATGTTTATATATTTTCTAAACTAGACAAAATCTAGACAACTGGATATTTTCAGAGGAAACCCGTTTGCCGGGGGATAAGATGTATTATTATATAGACATTTAGTTCTATAAAAAATACATCTGAGTTGCGTGAAATTCTAAATATATGCCTATACAAATGCCTGCATCGTAACGAGAATGTATATTTATAATATTATTAATATAGTACAGCGGCAGTTTCGTTCGGTGCGCAGAGGAGGTCGATGCTATCGCGGACTGTCTGAGCGCCTACTGTGCAGTATCCACTGCAGGGTTACCATTTCGAATGAATCTAACTGGTGACATGTCCACCACATATCCCAATTTCCAAGATGATTTTGGGACGAGAAACAGGGGATGTTCACAAGCTTTTACGTGATTTAGTACATACACAGTACAACCGAGTTGGTGAATGCGTCTTTACCAACCTCCTCTATTGAGCCAAATTCAACTATGCAGACATGTGTAGCATCGGTGATGAAGACTAATGTA